CCCATAGTGGATTCTTCTTGGGTGCTAAGTAACTAGATAAAAGAATAAAGGTAAGAGACTAACATTTGTTGTGTGCAGAGTGTCTGCCAGATATTGTCCAAGGGACTTTTCATCTGATTATAGTAATGTTGCTTTTCTCACAACAGCCTGAGATGTTAGGTATTATTACTTGTCTCATTTTGTGAATGAGATAATGAGTCTTCAGAGAGGATGAATGAATTGCCTAAGATATTTCAGCTAATTAAAAAAAAAAAGCAAAGCCAAGGATGGCAACATATTTCTATACTCCTCTTTTTTAAAAATTTATTTATTTATGCTTACAGAACTGGGGTACAAGCCAGAAGTGCAGGGGGTGAGAGGATTCACCAGAGACATAGCGCGGAGCAGAACAGGCAGATCGACAAAGTACACTGCTGAGGGAAGCAGTGGGCGGGTTAGGAGAGGTCTGCTGCTTCATGTGGGCCAGCTCCCTCGTTGGGGATCGAACTCATGCTGCAGTGGCGTCAGAGAGCTTCATAATATGGTGCTTTAACCCGTTGCGCCACCAGGGAGATCCCTCCTTTTCTTTTTTTTTTAAAAACATTTATTTTTATTTATGCATGCAAGAGCTGTGGGGTAAGCCAGAGGTGCAGAGTGTGAGAGGATTCACCAGAAACAGAGAGGGAAGCAAAATAGGTAGATTGACTGAAATATACTGCTGAGGGGAGCAGCGGGCTGACAGAAGTCTGCTGAGCCATGTGGGTCACCTCCCTGGCCCGGATTGAACTCATGCTGCAGTGGCTGCAGACAGCCCGATAGCACTGACTTTAATGCCTGGCCACCGGGGAGGCCCCAAAACTCCTTTTCTTTATGCCGTATGTCACAAAGATTTGGTTTGACAAATCTGATAGTTCATTTCATTTGAGAATAATAACCAGATTTCACATACATGTCTTTTTGAAAGTGTCAGTGACTGAGAAGAGCTCAGTTCCCAACTTGGTGACTAAGCTACCTCCTCTTTGTGCGTGACTGGAGAGTCTGAAAGCAGACTAACCACAGGGGTCTGCAGACTGAGAAATGAAGGACACTTGCAGGGAGCTTTTGTTTTCAAATCAAGCAAAGCCATAGAAGAGTCACAAGCAAAGACAGAGCCCACCTAAACTGAGACAGATCAAAACGAGTTAGCCAGAAGAGGAATTTTCTGTCCAGAAAACTACCCAAGCTTAGAATTGCGTTTTGGTACAAAGGTTTGTCAGAAGTCTTTATGGCAGGTGAATATCAAAAAAAACTGACTCTTGCCCTTGGTGCATCAGGCAATAGTTAGAATAGAGGCAGGGATGACAAATACTCTCAACTCAGTCTTGTGCAAACCCAGACTGAAACTCTACACCCATTCTAAAAACCAAAACTTCCTATTCTCCACTGCCTCAGCCTGAAGCCCCAGGCAATCACCATTCTACTTTCTAGCTCTGTGAATTTGATTATTCAAAATATCGCATATAATTGCAATTTGCAATATTTGTCCTTTTGGGTCTGGCTTATTTCACCTAACATAACTTTTTCAAGGCATATGTCAGAATCACATTCCTTTTTAAGACTAAATAACATCCCATTGTATGTATATACCACATTTTGTTCATCCGTTGATTTATTGATGGACATTGGGTTGTTTCCTTCTTTTTGGCTATTATAAATAATGCCGCTATGAACACTGATGTGCAAATATTATGT